CAGACCCCGGCCTCTGTGTCCGCCAGGGACTGGGCTGAGTGTCTTGGTTTTCTCCCCAGGCCCGCACTCAGCACCCCACCCCTTGCATGACTCTCCACAAGTCAGTCTTGCATGTTACAGGGGCAGTTTCCAAGTTTGCAGCTCATGGACCTGTAAAGGCTGTGTAATTTTAGAAACCAACACAAAGTTGCAAACCTTTTCATTTGCCAAGTAAAGCGCTTTGTACAGACTTCCCTGGAGGTCCAGTGACTAAGACTTCCTGCTCCCAATGAAAGAGACCCAAGTTCAACCCCAGATCAGGGAACTAGATCCTACTTGTGGCAACCAAGACCTTGCAGCAGTCAAATAAATACAAAATATAAACAAACAAACAAAAAATTAAAAGTCGTTTACGGGCACTGTTATATTACCAAAGAAAATCCCGTTCAACATCCAAAAATGTAGGACAGAATCTCAGAATAAAGGATGGTTTTAGGATTTTGAATGAATTTCCATTTATGAACACTCGCTCCTTTTTCCTCTTAGTTCTCCTTCAGCTCTGGGTCAGGAAGGACCCTGTCCTGGCCCAGCATCTGTCCCTGCTGGCATGTGGGATCCCAGTCAAAGGAAGGTGGGGGCAGTATTTGAGGGGAGCTGGTTCCCCAGCCATTAATACCATGAAGATGCCCAACCTGTCTAAACCTCGATTTCTCAGCCATGAAATGGGGATAATTACAGAGCCAGAGCCAATCTCAGGAGGCTGCTGTACAGATTAAATTAGATAATGCAAATAAAGTAGTTAGCACAAGGGCTCCATAAATGATCCATATGATTTCCAGACTCTGAAACGCTGCCACCTCGGGGCTAGTGTTCCTCCTTTCTCATAAGAGCTTTGGCTCCTTCTCACTAGAATGCCAACCTCTTCCACTTGGTCCTCTTCTTCCCCAAACCCTTCCTGAGGCCTCCAACCAAGGCTGGTTAGCTTCCCCTTCTGGGTCCTCCACAACCCAGTGCTATCCACGAGAGATACAAGACAGAGGTGCTGGAGCCCAGGACAGGGAATCTGGGCGGCTGGAGCCGAGGAAACAAAAAGAGAAGGAGGAGCTGGAAAGGAGGCAAAGAACTGGGCTGTCCATATCCAGCCACAAAGTCCTAACAGAAGCACTTACAGGGCATGTCTTTCCAGACACTGTTCCATGCACCTTGTATGGATTAACATGCCATTGCCACCCTATAAAATGTTATTTCTATCTTGACTGTACAGACAAGCAAACTGATTCACAGAGAAAGCACACAGCTTGTTCAAGCTGACACAACTATCCAGTGGCCTGGGGGGAAGGGTTTAGCCAGGGGGCTGGACAGGAGTCTGTGATTTAAGCACCATTTAATACTGCCTCCTTTCAACATCATAGCACTCTCATCGAGTCAATCAATTGATCAGATATTTAAGGGCACTTATCTCACGCTTAGCACTGTGTCAGAAAGTGAAAGGATAAAAGAGAAATGAAGACTTAGTCCCCGAGGATATAAAGCTCTACGGGAGCTGCCATCAGAGCACTTGGTTCTCCGGTCAAGATGGGGTGAGGGCCAGGGACAAGGCTGGGCTGCTTCATCCCTACCCCACCAGAGAACCAAGGGCAGAGGAAGACAACCAACCATGGGAGCCAGCAGAAGGTGGGAGGCCTAGATACCCTCTCCTCCTCTTCCTGATCCAGGATCTTCTGGGGTCCAGAGCTAGAGCTGGAGGTAATGCTAGGCCCTGAAAACTGTGTTTACACCCTTCTCCTTGGGTCTGAGCAGAAGTCCAATCAAGGTCAAGGAGAGGGACCAGGTATCCTGATTTCTGCCACGTCTCCCCCTGTTCTTCCCCAACCTCAAGATCCTGCTTTGGGTTAGAAATGTGGGCCATCTGAAGTGTGTGTGTGTGTGTGTGTGTGTGTGTGTGTGTGTGTGTGTGTGTGTGTGTGTGTGTGTGTGTGTGTGTGTGTGTGTATCATAGTGAGAAGGGCGTCCATTCCCAGCTACTCTTGTTTTCACACTCTTGTTCTCTATTAGGATGTAGCTGTACTCAAGCAGTTGAATACTGGGAATTTAGGAGGCCCTGGGGCCTCTTCCCTTTATTCCTCGCCACCCTGCCAAGTGGTGGCAGGGATGCCCAGGGGACATCTAGGGGCTGGAGGGACACATTTTCCCCCTACCCCCACCTCCACCCTCCCCTGGAGGCAGCTCCCGCCCCGAGCCGGCCTGTCATCCCACATTGCTCTGATTAGCTATAATCTTTCTTTTTCAATTTCTCCTCCCTGAGACTGGGGAGCGAGAAAATCTCCCAGAAAATGAATAAATATTTCAATTTTCGGCGCAATCAGTCTGAGGAGCCAGCGCATGATGGAAACGGGGGGAAGGATAATGGTTTTCATTTAGATAAGATACAGAAAATTATTTAGTGAAAAATGAAGATTGATGAAGCCCATTGAAATTCTTTAAAACGCGATTTTTATTTCTCTGCCTAAGCTGTACGTTCCCTTCCTCTCTCCTCTCCGCTCCCCTCAATTCAACTGCCTTCTCCTCCCACCTTCTCCACACTTGCCCACCACCCTCCCTCAGATGCCTGGTGACCCCCCTCAGGTTCCTCTCTCACTGCCCCAGCCCCTGCCTACAACTCTTCCTTTCTAAGGATGGAGGCTGAGGAGGGAGGTCCTGCCACCGCCACCACCCCCCTGAGAGCATCCCAGTCTCCCCAGGTCCCCACTCCTTCCAACCTTGCCTCCTCTCCAGTCCCTGCTCAGCCTCCCAGGAACACTCAGGAGTGACTTCCTCTCCCCTCTGCTCTAACCTCTCCCTTTGGCTCCCTTTGGTATCCCCCCTCCCACCCCCAAAGATTTCTGTACACTTTCATCAGGTCTTGCTTTCACCCCTGCAGGAGGATGGGCGATGGAATCTCAGCTAACCCCTGACCCGTCCCTCCCCAAAACAGAAAGGCACACAACACTCCTCTCTCGGACCATTCTACCCTGCTTCAGTCCACATGCCTCTCCTGTTTGCGAACTGCAGCTTTTGTTCCTTGAAGCTTGTTCGTATCCATGTTGCTGACACATTAAGGCTGCAGGAAAAGGGCAGACAGACGCTTGCCCCCAACACATACCAGTACTGACCCAGCTGACCCCTCCCCCAGCATCGCGGCCCCTCCTCCCCTCCCCCTCCTCTAGCAGCCCGGCTGAACAGTCAGAACTTAAGTCATCCTCCCAACTTTCTGCCAACTGGCTGGCTTGGCCTGCCAACCCCAGGACCAGGCCTCCTTTCCCCCAGCACCACTTCCACCCCACTCACACTGTGAACGTGGTCCCTACCCAAATGCTAAGTATGCCTGTGTGTGACGGAGGGGGGTGGGAGCCTTAGGGGACAGGATTGGAGACCCACCCCCACCAACTCAGCCAGGCTTGGCCTCCAGAGCCCCGGAGGGCCCGGCCAGGAGGAGAGGGGAGGGGTCCAATACAACATCCCTCCCCTAAACACACACCCACCAGGCCAGGAAGGGAGCCGAGAGCAGGGCCCTGCCTGAGGGTGCTCTCTGCAGAGTAACTTTCCTCTTCCCAGACCCACCCTCCCGACACCACCCAGGAGGAGACCCCCTCCTCCATTTCGTCGTCTGTACATCTCCATAGGTATCTGCCTATAGGAATGTCTGTTCAAGTTTCTTTGTTTGCTGGAGGGTTGGTATTCACAGAAGGGTCTCTGTGTGTGGCTATGTGTTGTGTCCTTGTAAATGCCCGACTGCATACATGGACTGTGCCTGTGAGTTGTGGCGCGTTTGGGGGCGTGAATATGCCCGCGTGTACCGATATGGGGGAGGAATCTGTCTTCCTCCGATGTGCCAGCGTCTTTGTGTATATGTGTCTGTCTCCGTGTGGGGAATGCTCGCGGGTATGTCTGTCTCAGTAGGTGAAGAGTCTGTCTCAGTGTCTAGGGCTGGTTTTGGGGTGTTTGTATGTCAATTTCTGTGTGGCAGCTCCATCTTGGGGGTGGGGGTGGGGGTGGAGTGGGGGGGGGGCGCGGCTAGCTCAGCAGGATTAAATCTTCCTTAGAGTCAGATCCAAGAGACAAGAATCCACTCAAACAGACCCCAGTAGGGGCTGAAGTCTGGGCCCCTGGCTTCTTCAGTTACCCTGCCGCCCCCCAGCCCAGCCTTAGGATACACTAACATCCTCATCTCTTCCAACCTCTCCCGCATCTCTCAACCTCTCCTCCATCTCCCAGGCTCTTCTCCGCCGGTCCCAAATAAAGCCCCAACGTTGGTACTTTTCTGACCCAAGAGGGTGTTAGCCGCCCCCCACTCCCGCCGCCCCCGCAAATGGCCACTTCCATACCCAGGGGGCCCGAAGCTGCCTTTGGAACTCCACTCCCGACAGGGAGCCTCCGCGGGCAAGGGTTCAAATCCCCATCAGAGGCCCCGAGGCACCCCTCCCTTCCTCTGGAGGGGGCAGCCCCAGGCAGTCTGGAGCCGCGGCTCGGACTCAGCCCCGCGAGGGGCTGGGCTGAAGGAGGGCTGGGATTCCCTCCCGACATCTTCGGGAGCCTGGGTCCCCCGCTTTCCGCGCACCTCCGCCCCCCGAACCTGAGATCCCACCCTCCTCCCAGCCTTCCCCCCGCCGGGACCCAGGCGTCCGGACTCCGGGTCTCGGAGGGTGGAGGTGAGTAGAGCTGCCAAAGGCTCCGGAAGAGACTTTGAGCGGTCGGATCCCTTTTCCACTCCGACCCCCGGCCCTCGCGGCCCCGATTCTCGGTTCTCCCGCGCAGCCAGAGGAAACAACTTGGGCAAATCAACGGAAAACTCCTCCTTGCCAGCCCCCGGTACTCCGCGCGGGGACCCAGCCCCCACCTCGTGGCGTCCCGACCCCCGGGGACCGGCCGCGGGCGGCCGAGCCCCTCGGCGCGCCCCGGGTGGGGGCGCACACTCCGGCCCCAGGGGTCGGGTGGGGGCAGCGAGGGCAGGCGCGGGCGGAGCGGGGGGTGGGGGAGCTTACCTTGGGAGAAAGTATCGGAGAGAGTGAGGATCCAGACGAGGAGGCTCAGCATGCTGTCCTTCCGCCGTGCGCCCGCCCGCGGCTCGGGCCCGGAGTTGGCGAGGGAGCGAGAGGAGCGGGCTGGGGAGGAGGGGAGCCCGGGAGCCCGCCCCCCGCCCGCCCGCGCCCGCCCCTGCACACTCACACGCACACTCACTCGCGCGCACAAACTCACTTCCCTTCCCTCCGCTTCTTTTATCTCTCCTTCCTCGCGGTCCCGTCTCTCTCTCTCTCTCCCTCTCTCTCGCCCCCCTCTCCTTCCCCCTCGCCCTTTTATTATTTCTCGCCTCGAGCTTTATCTCTCCGGGTCTCTGTGGCTCTCCGCTCTCCCTTTCTCCCCCCTTGTCTTCCTTCCCTCTCTCCCTCGTCCCTCCTCCTGACGTCTGCTCTCCCTCCGACGGCCCTCCCTCCACAGCCCTCCCCTTGCCCCCCCAGTGCGCGCGCACACACACACTCACACCCCTCGCTGCAACTGAGATGGACGGAGCGCCAAGAAAGAAAGCGGTGGAGGGCCAAGGGGTAACAAGGGGAGAGTCGCGGGCGCTGGGGCAGAGACGGCGGGACCCCTGCCCACCCGCACCTCCCTCCCATCTATATACACAGCCCTGGTCCCAGGCTACCGAACTAGGCAGTGGATTGGGGGGGCGGGGCATGGGCTGAGGACCAGCTTTTAGCTCAGGGGATGACCATGGTGGGGAAGGGTGTGTGAGTGTTTGTGTGTGTTTGGGTGTGTGTAAGCATGTTTAGGAGAGAGGGGGTGGGCAGGCGGTGGTTCATGGAATCAAAAAGCTTAAAAATCCTTTTTTTTTTTTCTCTTGTTAATTCCACACCCAAAATCTAACCTCTGTATTCTCAAATTGGGAATTCTCAATTGACTAATGAATGCTGGAGGTGGGGAAGGAATCACTCCTCTTCCCACCTACTAAAGGCAAAGCTGGAGAATTCCAGCTGCTTCCTGGATTGGCCTGAGGCCCCCACCAGGGGGCCTCACCCAGCACACAGTGGGGCCAGGCTGTGTTGGAGTCCTCAGCTGGTGGAGGACAGGCGTAAATGACTCCTTCCTTTGTTCATCTTATCTTCCCATCCGGAAGGAGAAGTACTCAACTGGAGGGCTTCAGATAGCCAAGAGCAGGGCAGCCACAGGAGGATCACCAAGCACAGAGTTTGAAATCCTTTGGGGTTGAGGGTTCTGGGTGCTGGGAAGAAGGAATTCCTGGCGAGACTGATGAAGGCATTCAGTAGGGGTCTCCTTTTTCTTAAAGAGACCAGCTTAACAACTAGCCTCTCTCCCAACCCATAACTAGATGCTTCTGCTCACAGGACCGGGGGTGCCTGAACCTCTGGGTCCTAGGCAATGAGTTGAGGATACATAACAGAAATCGCACAGGAATTGCACAACTTTACAAAATTGGTCTAGAGAGGTCTCCACTTCTTTCCTCCCAGATCTTAAGTCTCCTGGGTCCCTCATTACCCGCCAAGATTCTGGATTTCAGCCCCCGGAGCCAAGGTCCGTAGCTCTCTGGTGCCCTCTGCTGGTTTGAGGCAGTTATGATTACTCTTTCCTCCACACATACTGACACCGGCTGAATGGTCCAGACACAACTACATATGAGGACACAGAAACAAACTCACATCCAGAAGCATACTATGCACAGACCAGAGGGTCCTTCATATGTTCTAAAACACATGTGTATGGTCAAACACACAGCTTAAAAATAAAGAGCGTACCTAACCCAGAGAAATAGGAATATAATCACAAATACATACAAACAGCCACACATCAGCATGCAGACAAATAAGGGCTTTTAATTTACTCATCATTAATCCTGCATTTTGCAGATATTCTTGCATCTTGCATTCTTCAATGTTTGCTTATGTTCCAGTCACAATTTTAGCCCCTGGAGCTATAGCAATGAAAAAACAAACAAACAAAAATTATTATTATTTTTTTTTTTACAAAATCCCTCCCTCAGAGTATTCTATACTGGAGAGCAGGAAGAGGCAGTAGAAAAATAATAGAAAACACAAGGTTGCAGTAAAGGCTATGAGAGACAAAGCAGGATACAATGAATAGGGAGTGGAAGGAAAGCAGAAATTGCTAGTCTTACCAGAGTCAGGGAAAGCTGCTCTGCTAAAGTAACATTTAAGCAGATACCTGAAGGAACTGAGAGATTTAGGTTTTCAGGCTGGCATCTGAGGGTAGACTATAGCAGGTAGGTGGAAACAGCAAGTATAATAGAAGGGCCCTGAGGAAGGGATGTTCTTGGAATATCGGTGAGACAGCCTTTTCTCCTTTTTTATTCTGCACAGAAAGGAGGCCCATGGTGATAAGATTTAGGAAAATTTTCGAAGAAAAAATCCAGAGCCAAGGAAGAGAATAGTGAAGCTTAGTGAATGCTTCCTGTCTACCTTCTGCTATTCAGGTTTGATGGTGATTCTCAATGTGAAGAGGGCTTTATCACAGCTTTACCTTTCCCTTGGCCTTTTATCTCACCTTGAAACCCTAGCAACAGAGAAGCCAAATTTCTCTAGATCCTTAACAGCCAAAGTAGTAATCTCATTCCCCTCTCCTGGTCCCTTAACTTCCCATCCTGCCTGCTCCCTTTAATCTCCGATTCTTACCAGCTCTGTTCACAGCAAACACAATTCTCCAGACTCCCCTCTACAAAAGCCAGTCGACATTCCAGATGCCAGAGTTTAAGACCCCATCTCCAGCCAGGGGTCCTCAACAGCAGCTGTGTATTAGAATCTCCTGAGGGGCCTTTAAAAACCACCAGTGCTTTGGCCTCACTCCCAAAGATTACTTGTTCTGTAGTGAAGCCCCAGGCATCAGGACTTAACCGCCCCAGGTAATTCTGATGGGCAGCCCGGGCTGAGAACCAGGAAGCAAGCCCCTGCTTTCCAGGCATTGCCCTCAGCCAGGCCACACACACAGGGTGCTGTGCCCTCTTCCTTCCTCCATCAGCTCTGCTTCCTGCTAATCCTGCTTCTTCCTCCCCTCCTTGGAGGGAGGACCCCAGTCAAGCTCTCCCAACTTTCCTCCATTCTAATCTCTCTCACGGTAATGTTCACAATTCTAATTGGATTAACTGAGTCTACTGGAATTTCATCACCTAACTTTCATCAAACTGGGGACATCGTGGGGCTGAGTCTCCAGTATGGATGGTCCTGGAAGCAAAGTCTGTGTCTTTTCCATCAGACTAGATATAACCTCCCCAGGTCAGGATATCTGCCTCCCCATCAAACTTGGGGCCTTTGGGGCAAGACCTAAGCATGTCCTCTCAGTCTGGATCTCTCTGAGGGCAAGGAAGAAGTTGGGAACCCCTCTCCATAGGAGAGATGCAGCAGAATATTTGAAAGCAAGACACATAAGCATAGAGACCACCCAAAGCGATCCTAATCTAGGTTCTGCCCCTTACTTTCCGTGTGACCTTGGGTAGCTTATTTACCTCCCCTTTCTAATCCTTGATTTCTTCATCTGAAAGCAGAGATAATAATAGTACTTGCTTTATGGAGTGGTTGGGAGGATTAAATGGGTCAATATCCACATACCTCTTACAACAGTGCAGAGCACCCAGTGAGGAGTAAATGCTAGCTGTGATTAATTTCAGTTTGAGAGGTCCCCAAAGCAGGGGCCCTTCCAGTCTTCCTCCTGCTGGGTTAGTCTCCATCCCCATGCACAGGGCCCTGCCCACAGAGAAGTGTGCAGGCGTGGAGGTGGAGGAAGTGATCCCAAAGGATGCTACTTCACCCTGAAAAAAAGTAGAGAAGCAGTCAGAGGTTGTGTATGGAGTTAAGAGAAATAGTAATAATTTTTTGAGCACAAAAGCAAAGAGATCAAGAGGTCAGGGAGTGAGAGGAAGGCAAATTATGACCATCAGCAGCAGAAGCCACCCTGAGAGACGGAAATGAATTCTTTGTCTCAATGAGGGCTAAGAACAGCAGAACAATTCTATAAATTGTCCTCTTTCCCCCCAGAGGGGGTGGAGGATTGTGTTCCTGCTGCTTAACAGAAACTCAAAAAGGAAAGGCCAAGATCCTGATTTTCAGCCTGGAAAATAACCCTGACCAAAAAGGAAACCCTGAGTCCCCAAGAGTGAGGAGCTGCTGGAGGTCACCATGTCCCTCCCGCTGCTATAGTGACTGCAGCCCAGAGCAGTGAGAAGCACCCCTTCTTCCAAAGTACCCCCAGCAAAGGGGCTTGCTTTCATTCCTGCTCCAGTTCTGTGTCTTTGAACCCAGGTAATAGTGTAAGTTCTTCCAGATATCAGGCCTTGGGTTTTCCTGCTGCTATACCAGTCTGTTTCCTCTTGTTCTTTCCCTTAAGATGCCCAGCCTTCTTCAGTCACTCAGTCGTGTCTGACTCTGTGACCCCAGGGACTGCAGCACACCTGGCTTCCCTGTCCATCACCATCTCCCAGAGCTTTCTCAAACTCATATCCATTGAGTCAATGATGCCATCCAATCATCTCATGTTCTGTCATCTCCTTCTCCTGCCTTCAGTCTTTCCCAGCCTCAGGGTCTTTTCCAATGAGTTGGCTCTTTGCATCAGATACCCAAAGTATTAGAGCTTCAGTTTCAGCATCAGGCCTTCCAATGAATATTCAGAACTGATTTCCTTTAGGATTGACTGGTTTGATCTCCTTGAAGTCCAAGGGACTCTCAAGAGTCTCCTTCAACACCACAGTTCAAAAGCATCAATTTTTTGGTGCTCAGTTTTCTTTATGGTCCAACTCTCACATCCATCCATGACTACTGGAGAAACCATAGCTTTGACTAGATGGACCTTTGTTGGCAAAGTAATGTCTCTACTTTTTAGTATACTGTCTAGGTTGGTCATAGCTTTTCTTCCAAGGAGCAAGCATCTTTTAATTTCACGGCTGCAGTTACCCTGCTTTGAGATGTATGAAAAGTGGAGCAGAGACAGGACAGGCTTAATGGTGATGGGGAGAGATTCAGATCTGCACTGTGAGGGATGAGGGAGGGGGCTGGGGGGGCGTGAGGAAGAGCAAC